TGTTTTATATATTTATATATATGGGATATGCGTGCTGAAATCTCGCCACAATACATTTTGAAAAAATGCCGACGGCACTCTGCACATCGTATGTTTAGATTTAATTTCCTACAATGGTCGCGATAGTATAATAATATAGTGAATGCACTCGGTTTTGTGCCTGGTGGTTTTCGCTCAGTGAAACAAAGCGTTGAACAGCTCGCACGTGCAGAGGGCGGTCCTAACAAACACACAGGTACTGATAATCCCTCTCATCTCCACGCCCCTGCCGTAAATCCAACCAATCGCCTTGTGCAGAATTAACTGACTTACTCCCCTTTGAACCGTCATCTTTCCCTCTCTCTACTGTTTGCTCTGACGAAAACAGTGATCAAGCCGTAGACTGCGAAGAGGCTGGACGACCAGGCTATCTTACACCAAGAGCAACACGAGGGAACAAGTCTTCAACTTCAACGAGTTCCCTCCCTCATCTGCACTGAAGCCTACCTGAGGCAGCGCCAGTGCGCAAGCTGAGGAAGGCAAGGCGAAAGAGAGGGCCCCAAAAACCTCTCCCCTCGCGTTTCACCTCACGCACTGTGAAATCTCTCCCTGTAGTTCCGTAGCACTTGTTGCTGAAACCGCGGCGGTCGGTCGATGTACGTACGTAGCGGGCGTCGTGGGGCCGTGACTAAACAAGTGTATTGTCGCACCCAGCTGGTAGAGCGCTAGTTCTGTGGTGCGCCCTGCGTTTGAGACGAGTCTCGAGATCGGAGTACACAACCCACAGGTTCTTTGACTTTGGACTTACCAGTGTGTATGTTTGTGTGTACACTACTACCAAATCTACGCACGCGATTCTTGCTCTTTGGATATGACAAGAATTTGTTTCCAGTAGAATTGATCTGTGTTTCTGTGCTGTTAATTGTACCAGACGTGATCTCGAAATTGTTCAATGAAAGTTATCTTAATTAGCCTACGTAATTGTTGAGCAATCACTTTGTAACTTGCACACACCTGTCACGCAATTCGTCATAGATTTGAGATCTAATCTTGATTTAGAAAGATCTAGGTTAAAAATCATTGATTGATTATAGGCGGCATCTTGTCTTCGTCGTGAGGATTACATTGATAGATCTAGGTTTTGATTATAAACACCTGTATATTTTGTCGTGTTGATACTTTTTTAAAGATTGATTTGATGCCCAAGTGGTATAAAAAACTGGTTCTGTTTTGGTGATATTCACAATCGGATCTATAGTCTCAAATTGTGACTGTTCATTGAACACAACTGTTTGTGAAAAATTCATTGATTGGAAGTATTTCTGCCTTGTTACATTACTTGGACCAATTCAGACTCAACGGAGCCTCAAGCCTACAATTTGGTAGACCAAGCGTATTACAAACCTCTTGTTTCTTCTTCAGAGGACAATATAGTAAAGTTTCTTACAATGGATATCAAGTAGAATTGTGGAAAGGCTCGTTTGTGTTTTCAAGAGCACGCATAATAAAACCAGAAACAAAAAAATACCCTCCCTGATGATGTATTCAACAAACAGGCCGAAAGGATGGGCGTCAAAGTGTTAAGTTCTCGGGACACTCCCTCCGCCCGGTATTACCAAAGCTTCTAGTTCCTCTGAACAGGATTTGGAGGTGCATTGTAACTTTGGCGTTGCGTTGGGCGCTGATTTCTACATCAAGTTGATCGTCCGATACCCCGAGAAGGGCATGGATATTATGGATACTTTACCTGCAGCAAGTCTGAAGCGGCGGTTGCTGTCGGCAACTGTGGTGATGCTGCTATTGTCAACGTGCAGGACTGTGGCACAGCAGCTCTGTGAGCACTGCAACTGCCAAATCAGGTGAGTGTCTTCTAATAATGATAGATGCATTAATTGTATAGCGCATATCCCGGCTCAACAGCAAGCTCTATACGCTTCACAATCTATACCATTACCGCAGCAGACCTGAGAACATTCTGAAACAACCCCAACTTCCTGGGAAGCATACAGTGCAAGCAGCCATTTATAGCCTGCGCTAAAACACTAACATACTGACAAATTCTTTCGCTGTCTATGGACATTTGTGTTGGGATACGGCTTTTAATTAATGCCCTTTCAACTGAAATTTGTGTGTTGTTTTCGGAGGCCAGATCTCAGAACTAACGTTTATCTCAGATAGTATTCTGCCGAATAGATGGACAGCATAAAATATTTTTTAAAAGTAAAGCATGTCCTCAAGCAATACCAAGTTCAAGAATGTCAAATCTGAGGTTTAGATTTAGGTGGTCTGTGCGTGCAGTGTAGTCAAACGCGATACCAAATGAGCGAAGTGTGAAGCTATGTCAGGGTGTTTTAGCTCGTAGAAGGAAGAAGGCTCACACCTGCACTGCTCCGAGCAGTAGATTATTATGCTGTGTCCCTAAATGTTTGCTATCAAGTCCAAAATCATGGTCACAGTGATATCATAACTTTAACCTCAGGTTTTCGGTGTCTTTTTAGTACATGGAATAGGGAAGAATCAAATTGAAATGAATAGCCTACAGCTTTCATTTCAGCTGAAATAGTATGTCAACACGCACAAGTTGTATTCCCGCCTTGTCTTCTTTAGTCATTATCGCTGAGTTTAATCTTAGTAAGTTTTAGTATGTCGCATGTTCCTCTTTTTAATTCCAATAATAACAGGTGCGTACCCTGTACTCCTAATTTACTCCTAAAGTTCTCGCCAAGCTCTGTCTGTCTGCCTGTCTGCCTGTCTGCCTGTCTGTCTGTCTGTCTGTCTGTCTGTCTGTCTGTCTGTCTGTCTGTCTGTCTG